AGGTGTGTCCGTCCCGAGAAGCTCCGCTGTCTAGACCCCTCTGTGCCGCACATGGCAGGGGCGCGCCTTTTTCACAGCTGCGTAGTACTCCGCAGGGTATAAAGATCCCCTCTCCAGACCCGGTCACCAGCCCGGGCCCTGCCCATGACTTGGCTGTGGTGCTGGTGCTGCTGAGAGCACGGAAGCGACACTCTCTTTGCCGCAGCACGGTCAGGGACCCCGCAGGTGACATCCGTGCGGAGTTGGACGCCACCGTTGCGGGCATTTGCGCGACACGCACGACTGTGTCCTGAAACTCCACCTCCCCGAAGGTGAGATCCTCAACGCCATCGAGGAAAACGGTTTGAAGAACACGACGTTCACGTATTTCACCTCCGACCACGGGGGACACCTGGAGGCCAGGGATGAGCGCGGCCAGCTGGGCGGATGGAACGGGATGTACAGAGGTGAGGCTGCTGGCCACGGGGTGGGGCCCACGGCTGTGACCCACGGGAATACCGGCGCTCGCGATGGCCCCGTGCAGCTTCGGCTCGCGAGCGCCTGGCCTGAAAAGACGCTTAAAGACCGATGTCCCCGAGCGTTACTTGGAGGCGGGTGACCCACTCCGGGCATCAGCTCTGAACCCCAAGTTCCGGGTCTCCTTTTTTCCGGGCGCTCGAGGGCTCCAGCACAAGCCTCGATGGTCTGGTGACCGGTTACACGACGGGGCAGATCGCGTTCGCCGCGGACACCGTGTACAGGACGCTCAGGCGATTATAAAGGACTCGGGCAGGAAGGGTCCGGACAGGCGGGGGACCCGCTTCCCAGGCCAGTCACGGGCCATCGGGAGGAAACAGAGCGGGAGAAGGAGGGTCCATGTGCCGCCCGTAGAATTAATCGTATTAACACGTGTCAGGCGTCTACTTCTCCGTTTCGCGCTTATCCGTTATCTGTCTTCTTAGCAGTCTTCATCTGTCTCCTTGTCATCTATCAATCATCTATCGCCGTTTTGCTGTTTTCATCCATCATCCATCCTCCATCCATCATCCATCCATCCATCATCCATCCATCATCCATCA